AGGCCACAGAAAACATGTACACTGCATTTAAAAAAATGTAAATCTAGTTTGACAAAAACGGCCTTTGAGACATTTATCAGGGTTGGGTAACCAGCACTAAATGGGGTGAACAGAACCATCAATCAAGTTCTTCCAATGGTCAGGGGGCTTTTCTGTGTAATTCTGAAATCTGTATCCAGCTCCATCCACACAGATATGACCCTCTGAAGGTCACTGTCAGAATCACTCACGCATCAAAAGACTTTTGGATGGATTTACAAGTACTGGCAGTTTGAAGAGCAAGTTAAATCGCTTCACAGATTTGGTTTTTGGAGATAATTCTTTGTACCGAACAACAGACAACAGATTATGGAGCAATACTGGAACATTCTATCATCTGAAAAAGATAAGGAACTAAACTCTTGCGAGTGGAGATTCAAGGAAAAGACTACTTTATATATGCTTTCCCTTAACCTCCATTTTACATGAATCAAATGATGACAGATGATCAGGGCGTTTCCTTTCGCTCCGAGGTCAAGGGCAGTAATCGCTGTCCCCATTTGGCGTTTGTCAGTTTTGGCCCTCAGCCGACGGATTGCAGACAAAGTACATAGTCCCGCTGGGAAATGAAAGAATTATTATTTGCCAAACAGGACAAAAGAGCCTCTGCAGATTCATCCAGTTTCATTCCATCCAGTTCGCGAAAAAATCATAGCCTATACCTGAACTCAGCAAAATATCTGCAGATCTGAATAGTCACTTTGATTGTGACTCATGAAGTTTATTTATAGCTTCTCTGCTCCTCAGTGACAGTAAAATGATGTCATACAATTGCTAGTCAGCCACGTCTTCAAATCAGATGCCTGTTAATATGTTGATTGATAATTGATTAAAAAAATCAGTTTTTAAATAGGTAAGCCAGACATTGATTTTTCCCCTGCTCATTCTGTCCAAGAACTGTACACTTTTAGAAACAAGTTTCCTGATAAACAAGTTAAATAACCTATAGTTTGCTGTTTCTGCATGTTTTAGGAGCAGATATCTCTTGGGTCAGACAACTCATTCAACTTGTAGTTGAAGTACTCTACACTGGACATGTGTTGGGTTGCTTTAAGCAAATTCCAACAAACCCAACCTTTGGGATAAAATCGTCACCTTAGAATTGTAAGGTTCTATCTGACATTTTTGTCAAAATTGAGTTATTGACATTTTCTTTTTAAATTGACAACTTCTAAGATGTTTGTTTTTTTATAAGTTGTTACATTTTAGGACTTTTTATTTAAAAACAAATGTTACATACATACTGTTTGCTATGAAGTCCAAAAACTTTAAAGCCCAATATCTCAATATAATTCAGAATGCAGACAGAACCTTATAATACCAAGGTGATGAAATGTAGTTTTAATTTTTAATTATTTTAATAATATTTAATGAATAAATTAAAAATGAAATTAATATTTTTTCATATTTGAACCTAATTTGGTTTGAAACAGGCACACATTTTTAAAATGTACATTTGTTGCTTATGCTTAGTTTTGTACAATACATTTATCTATGGCTGTGTCCGAAAATGTATACGCTGCTGATTTGTTACCTTGTCGAGCTGAATATACAACAGAGAGGATAGCTGTGGACAACACAAACATAGAGGATGACCCAAATAAAACAAAGCCAAAACAAACACAGTCAGTAATATATTATACAAAACCTTTTTCTGGGAGAAACAGAACACCATAGAGACTATGCTTTTGCAGCGGTGTTGCCTTTTTTATTTGTATTTTTTATCGTCTATGTGTGGAACTGCATGCGATGTTTTGCCAGATCCATAATTTGAGATCCTGGTCCAATGACCTCTCATTGGAGATCATTTGACACGGCTTTTGTAACTGGTCCTTTATGACCATTAAAAATCTTATGTGCTCCGACGCTGTGATATTTAGCTCCTTTGTCCTCAGGTAACATGAGATCTGTCTCAAATTCTTCAACCAATTTTTGACTGATGATCTGTGGTGAGCTATTTCCTTTCCTCCAAATTTTCAAATGGACTACAGCAGTGTCCAACATTCTTTAGTTATGCTTCTTCTGTCAACGGATGCCACTTATCAGCCTCTGAGCCCCTGATAACCTTCACTGATGCTGGGATGCACACAATTGATGTGTTGGGACAACATGAAGCAATTAAGTTAACATCTTAGTTTTTACAAATTTAAGTGGATTGAAGATAAAACAATTAAGTTGTCACAAAAAACATCAAGACTTGTGTTGTTTCAGCTCATTTTAAATAAGTAGTTTGAACAGCCACTGTCATTTTATGAATGGATACCAGATCCTATACAGAGATAGAGCCTTTTATCCAGAATAAGTTTCACAATCTTTGAAAAGTCCACAAACCCTCTTAATCCATTCCAACCCACAAAGTTTCTAAAATTGTGGTACATCTATTATCCACAACAATTAAAAGTTAGACTAATGGAGCAAAGTAAGATTCAAAATAGTTCTTGGGTAATCTCTCTCTCTCTCACTCACACACACACACACACACACACACACACACACACACACACACACACACACACACACACACACACACACACACACACACACACACACACACACACACACACACACACACACACACACACACACACACACACACACACACACACACACACACACAGCATGTTACCTTTAAAGATAGTACGATATAGGCTGCACAACATATTGCTTTACCATCGATATCGCTATGTGCAAATCCACAAAAGTCACATAGCAGGATATGCAATGTTGATTTAAGATTATAAGTGACCATTTGCAAAATCACTGCAGTTTAACCATAACAGAAGGAAAGTTTATCAATTGCATTTGTTTTAAAAGCCTATGAACGGGAAAGCAGGTAGCATTTGTAACTTAATATTTAATTGAATTATTTATACGTTGAAGGTTTTCCAGTATAATTTAGCTATTGATTATACTCTTTCTGTACCTGTTAGACTCCCCAGAAAGCCTCTGTTTATTGCACTTGTATCTACACTATTTTGTATTTCTCTATGCTTTTGATTTGTTTGTTATTTTTTACGCATAATTCAGTCCGGTACAATATCATCCTTATCAGTCCAAATTAATGAATTATTTCCAAACAGTTATTTCGGCCATCTGGTTGAATTGTGTTCATAACACATGTACTGCATACAGGAAAATAAATACTAATGGCAAATTCTCCAATAATTTCCAAAAAGAAAAAAAAAAAAAAAGAGCCATTGCTAGGCCTAAAAGGTTCTTGATAGCTGCAATAAACTGAGTTCCATTGCATGGACCATTAAAAGATTGTGACAGTATGACAACCTTGGTTAAAAATATCACGGTTGCACAGTATTGTGATTACTGCTCTAAAATCTGCTCTTCTTATATATCTGGGAAAAAAAAAAATTATTTTTCCCCTTTGAATACAATATGTTTTATTTCAAGAAACATTTACAACATTTTGGAGCAGTAAACATCTCAAGCTAAATAATTTAAATGAATCATTGACCTCTGGTTATCTTCGTTAGTTTCTAAAACACAGATTTCTTGCCAATTTAAAACAGTATATTTGGGTCTCATTTCTGCTGGAGATACTGTTGTCCTAGAAAACAAAAAATGTAATAATAAAATCGTACATATCCCTAGGCATGCCATTATAAGATTCTGACGGTATGATAACCTTGGAAATAAACATCACTGTTTCATGGTATCATGGTAAGGAGGTTACTGCTCTAAAATATATTCTTTTTAAATGTCTGGATAAAAAACAAAAACTTCTTCCACTTTAAACACAATATAGTTTAATTTGAGAAACATTTAACATTTTGGAGCAGTAAACATGTCAGCCTAAAGAATTCAAATGAATTATGGACTTCTACGGTCTTCATTAGTTTCAAAAACACAGATTTCTTTACAATTTAAAATGGCAACTTTGAAGATCTTTACTGCTGGATATACTGTTGTCCTAAAAACTAAAAAAAAAAAAAAAAGTAAATAAAAAGATCTTATGCATTAAAAACAGTATAGCAGAAAATTTTAAAGCCTTGACTTTTCCAAACCGCGATATACCTTAAACACTGTTATTGCCCCATGCCTACATACACCATAGAATTGGTGCAGCAGAACACTTTGGCAGTTTTAAAACCTTGACTTTTCCAAACCGCAGTAAACCTTGACAACCGTTCTCGTCCCATGCCTATTGAATACAAGACCAAAATCCAGTTTTTATGCCATCTAGCACCATTTTCTTTTTATGGTGCATTGTCTATGTCCATAAAGACTCAAACTGCAAATGTTTTGCTATAACCTAATTATTTTTTCCCCGAGTTAACGAATAAAGCTTTACACTTTATTTTGGAATACATCATATTCTGAGCATGATAAAATTCTTCAAAAAATGACAAGTATTTTCAAAACATTCTCCAAGCGTGTCACAATTTTTTTCTGCATGTAGATAAAGACTGAGCACATATCTTAGGCTACTAAATGAACTTTCACCCACATTTACAGCAGTTCTATAACATCAAAGCAGCCAGTTCAGAGCAGCTTTCCTGCAGACTGCTGATATTTACCAGAGCTAAAGCACAGCCGGGCGAGAGTGTCCTCTACTGACCAATTCCAAACAGCAAATGACCACACAACAAGCACGTCTAAGTTTGCTTTCATTTTTTTTTTTACAAAATACATATTTTATTTCATTGTCTTTCATCGTGACATTAAAACATCAATTCGGGTGCATGGACTTGCATTCCTCACTACTGAGAAACACATCTACGACAGTCTCTTTCATACACTTACTGCATGGTTTTCATTGAGGTAATGCAAAAACAGCATCTGCTCCTTTTCTCTCATTGCTTTCGGTCTGTGCTTTCAGAAATCCAGCAGACACGAGCTATAATGGCCAAAAGTCAACAGACAGGGCCCTTTTGTGCTTCATCATTTTTTTTCTCCTCCATTTTCTTTTTTTTTTTTCCAGTCCAGTGTTAATAAAGTGCCAAAATTCTCCAACTTTGCTCCCTCTCCATAAATACATTATGAAAGATGTCACATTAATACACACTAAATGCAGGACACACACACACTAGATCAAATAACATACACATACAACGAGTAAACAGAAAAGAAAAACATGTACATATACAGAATAGCTCATTCACCTTATTCATACCTACATCCCCAGAAAGTCTGTATGCAAGAGATGGTGTTAGTTATGCACAAGAAGTGGAGCAACAGGCAAATCCAACCTGGCATGCCCATTTCTTTTGGTTTAGTTCCTCAATTGTGTCGGCAAGACTGCCCTTAAGCACCAATCAGGTCTTTTCCATTCTTACCACAAGCCCAAAGTCATCTGCAGGTGCAGGAGTCTGCAATCATGTCCTCGTATTCTTTATAATCTATTTGTCCATTACTCCCCATCACTAGCATGCTCATACGTTTGTATTTATAAGGAACGCAGGAGGGCAACGGGATATCCGCTACACCCAGCTCGCTGATGAACGTCTGCATGATGGCGTGGTTGGGCGAATTGTAGCCGTAATGCAGGATGCGAGGACAATCTCCCATGCAGTATCCAGGATTGTACTTGTGGGGTGCAATGACCCAGTGGTCCCACCCCAAATCTTTGAAGTCCACGCTGGAGGAGTACAGCTTGCAGTTGTTTTTGGTCACTCGGTTCAGCCCCTGCTTGAAGTTTGGGATATCAGAGACGATGCTGCCAGACTTTTTAGACCGACGGGTCCTGGGACGGGAGAGTGGCGGGAAGCTCTTCCCCCACTCCACCGGGTGCTTGTTCTCCTCCAAGAAGAGCAGCAGAAGAGGAGCACGAAGATGGTGTTGAGGTGGGAAGCGCTTCCGATGTGCAACAGATCTTTTGTGCTCCGGCTTTGTGCACCAATAACGAGCAAAGAAAGATACGTGGCCATCTTTTGACTCGGACACATGGTCTGTGACGTCGGTCTCTGTCCACCGGCTTCGGGGGCCCATAGTGATCCGGTCACCCTCAAGAGGATTTTGAAGAGACGTGACACTCGCCTCACAGATGTAAGGAAGACGTGATGACATGGGAGACCTCAGGTGCATGAAAGACGCCTTCACCAGTTTGTCCAACAAGAGGTCATTCAGTTCATATTTCACTGTGTAGGTGTACTGAAGATCTAGTCCGTCGTGATTTACAGATTGGAGAGAGATAATGAAAAGGAAAAAAAAAAAAAAAACTTACTATGAGCCTAGATTTCAGAAACATGCATCTAGAATTTCTTTCAATGACTATATAGAACAGTACACTCTTAAAAATAAAGGTTCTAAATACACTGAAAAAAGTGTAGCAGGCAGAACTGTTGCAAACAATTTATTTGTGTTGAATTTAAACAAACAAATTAAGTTTAATAATGTTCAACTTAATTTGTTGATATAAATTCAACACAAATAAATTCAACACACAAATTGTTTACAACCACTTAACATAAAAAATTTAGTAAATCCAAGAAATCATCTCTGAATAATTTTTTTTTAGGTGTAAGGCTGGGTGAATAAAATCTCGGTTAATTAAACATTTAAACTCTCTTACGATTAATGAACAATTATTTCATTCATTTGTTTTATTTTTATGCCCTAAAAATTCATTGACAAAGTTTTTTACAGTAAAAATACCAAGTGAGAGATTTCTGAATGAAGGGATCATTATTTGATTTTAAAATAATAGAAGAAAACAAACTCTCCAAGATTATTTATTGAACATCAACGTGGAACAACTGACATTTCCTCATTAAAAAATGTAAAAAAATAAATAATTTGCACTTTTGGAAACAAATTTTGTTCAAAGTTTTTCATATTAAAAGTAAAAAAGCAACATATCTTCTAAATAAAATAACTACTGTATATGCTCTAAATCAGGGGTGCCCAAACTTGATGACAGGCCAAAAACTAAACATCATTGATAGCCATGGGCCGATGGTAAATACACCATATTTTTAAGGCATATACTATTTTACATTATAGTTGCCATGGGTAATTTCCTATCTTATTTTACATTATTTAAAAAAAAACTAAAAACATTGCTTTAAATCGTATTAACTAATGCATTATATGTTTTTTTATTATAATTGTTACAATAAAAACATAAACAAATCACATTTATAGCACAGTGGAGTTCAATGCTGAATACATTACTCAAGCAGAATCTACCTTTGCCTTCATTTGCTCACTGATATCTCAGGATTGTCCTCTATCGGGTATGTACATTTAAAAAAAAATCTGAATCATTTAATTGAAACGTTAAACTTGCATTAGCTTTTTGCAGCTCAGCAATAAAACAAACAAAAAGTTATATTAAATTAGAAACGACAGTCTTTAAAGCATCCCAATTATTCTCCCCCTCTTCTCAGATAGGACTGTGGTCCAAATCAAAGGTTTGGGCATCTGTGCTCTGAATAACATTTTAAACTGTGCACTTCTCGAATCTTCTGTAAACAAATGTTTCACCTTAAATAATAATTTTAATGCAATAGAAAATATGCCGTCTAAAGGCATCCTTGGCGCAGCTTATAATCATAGTTAATGTATATTGATTTTCATTACTTTTCGATTACTCGTCCAGCCCTAGTGCTAAATAAGGGGTAGCTGTTAATTTTTTTTTTTTTTGCAAAATAATCTTTCAAACTATAAGTCTTAAAAGGTTCCCTATGGCATCATCTTCCATTGCAAACGAAACCTCTTAGATGTTCTTTACAATAGTGAAGTCTGTTGTTATAAGAACGGCTCTCTGAAAGGTGCTCCATAAAATGGCTTATATATGCAGTGGTGTAAAGAAACAATTACAAATACTCAAATTACTGTTGTCGGGCAGTTTTTAATCAGGAATTGCAATTTAGTAAAAAATAAAAAATAAAAAAAAGTGTGTACTTTTACTTTCCCTTGAGTACATTTGTAGTGTGGTATCGGTACTTTTACTCCACCACTTTCCTTCAAATTGCAGTCAGTACTTTATTTTTTCTTGTGTATGAGGATTGGCTTAGTACTTGGCATCAGTCCTGTGAATCTTGTCCAATCAAATCACATGGAAAGTAAATTGCATCATACTGAACTACCTTCATAAATGCTGCAAACTGTTTGAAAGCATTTAAAGTGTCCAAGAGGATTAAAAGTCAAAATCTTTACACGCAATGACCAAGAGACTATTCAGACTGCTTATCACTAATGAGAAGATGGCAAATGCTCACTGTATGAAGACTGAAATAATCACTAAATGCACTACAGAATGTTACGTTTACACACCCTAACAAACATATTGCATGTAAATGCATGAGCCGTTCACAGTGTAATACTCACTACTCTTGAGTACTTTTTTAAAAAAGCTACTTTTAACTCTGAGTAATATTTACAAAAGATACCTTCACTCTACACTTTTTGGCCAAGCAATGGTACTTTTACTTGAGTATGATTTTTTCAGTACTCTTTCCACCACTGCATCTATGACATCAGTACAAGAGCAGAGCATTTTTTTTTACTTTAACAATATTGTCATATCAGTAAAACACTTTTCCAACATAAAGATCTCAGCAATCGAAAGGTCAAATGAATGCAGAAGGTTCTTCGTAGAACTGTCAATTCTAATGTCAATAATGTTTAACATCTATGGGGCCTTTTTGAGGCTCAAAAGTTTCTGAATGGTGGAAGAAGGTTGCTTAGTGATGTAAAATGTTCTTGACACCAATAACTAATCACTGAAAAGCTTTTCTGGGGACCAACATGGTTTAAGGCTTAATCACTGTTTATGGGAGGCAACCTCTGTTTTTAAGAGTGCAGATTTCATTAACAACAGTAAAGAATCTATAAAGATATATTCCCCGCATTATATTCAATAGGATGCTAACAATTGCAATAAACATTTTAGGAGTCTAGAAGAGAACTAGAAATAATCATATGATGCATAACATATGGATTAAAGGATGTAAATGAGAAATGATAGAGTGCTTTACCACTTGATGTTGGGAGAAAGTGTTTTTCAGTGGTTGATGCTTGAAGCAGTCTTATGGTGTTGGACCCAAAAATCTTGTGCTGCTTTGGTCGTCCATCTGCATCCGCCGCTATCCTGTATAGACTCAACATCAGTCGCATGCCATCATCGTCAGTTCGGCTTTCTACGGGAGGTCTAAAATGAGGGTTTCTCCTTTTTGGGTGTCGATTTTGGTGAACTTCTGTACTGGCGACGCCAAAATGTGACGGGGAGGCCATGTTTCCGGCCACGCGCGTGAATATGTGCAGCACAAACAAACAGGACAGTACGCAGAGTCTCAGACCGTTGGGGCCGCTGGTAGCCTTCATGTTCAGCCCCTCGTACGCACGAGTGCCACCTGAAAGGCTACCATCGTCTAAGACAATCAGCGGGCGGAATTCAACCTGAACATCAGCTGACGGCCACAAACTTTCTGGTGCGCCTCTAATCGTGTGACGTCATGTCCAATTATCCGTCAAACGTCAAAGGCCGCATTCGTGTGGTTTATATCCGGTATGGAAATTAAGTGCACAGGAGTTTATTTCCAGAACCCACATTCAGTTTATTGTATTATTTTTCATAAGTCAGATGTACATTGCACTCTTATTTTCATTAAAACCAACTGGCCAATCAAGTATATTAATACAATTTTAATCCATAGTTTGGTAGTTAATTATGGCATATTCAGTGGGCATCTAGATATGAATCTGCTGTGCTTGCTGCCTTGTCTGAATGGTCTGAACTAAATAATTTATACATGACACATGTATTATTTCTCCATTTGTTTGTCATTTTTTATTCCTAACATGTTTACTATTTAAAATGTAGTTTTATGTGACGTAATGTCACAATCAATTACATATCAAACGTCATTTTACAATTCATTTAAACCGTATGCTATTAGGTCTAAGTTCATTCAAAATATTGATTGGAGGAAAGTTTGGGTATTACCTAATAAAAATCTAATTACAAATAAAATCTAAGAAAATACTACACACATATTACCCTATAAAGCCTTTTAAACCAGATTTATTGAAGACATGGATGCCAATTGTTCATTCTGTTTATTATACCCAGAAACAGTACCTTATATTTTCTGTTATTTGTATACAAAAGGTTTGTGGTGGAAGGTATCTAAATTTATAAATGATTAAGTGCTGTTACATTTTCTTATATGTCATTGTTGCTTTTTTGAACTATGATAAGAAGTTGGAAAATGAGGCTGATGCTATTAATCTTTACATTATACTTACCAAGTTTCATATCCATCGTTGTAAATTTAGCAGTCAGAAACCTCTTTTCTTAGTGGTACTTATTGAATTAGAGATTTATAAGTATCATTAAGTAATATGTATTATACTTTTAATATGTATTATTCGTAATATTTTTTTTAGTTAATTAATTATTATTTTATAATTATCTATGGAGTTTTGTACTTTTATATAACTCTAAAAAAATATTTTTCTATAAAAATGTTTTTCGTTTTTTATGTACTCCTCTGCCATTGTTTTGTATATGTCGGTCCATAAAAAAGGTTACAAGTCCTTTATCCTGTTTCCTGCATGCTCTTAATTAAAACAATTAATATAGTGTGTTAAATAATCTAAAAATATATATTTTTGTTGTTGAAACGAAACTTACTTTTTCCATTGTGACTTACATGCCACACAAACAAGTAACGTGCCGTATAACTAAAATAAATACGTCTCTATTATGTATCTTTTTGGAATAAAGAAAATATTCAAAATCGCACGTGTAAATGGGAGATATGTTTTGGTAAAATATTGTAAGGGTAATTTTAATCAATCATTCTGTGCTCATCATCTGCCGCTAGATAGAGCTGTCTCCTGGCTTTTCTCTTCATGAACGCGCACTCTTGCGCGCTGACAGACTCGTGCTCGCTCCCAGTCTGTGCTTCAGCCGACAGCAGCAGCAGCAAGCAGCAGCGATGGCTCTCCTCAAAACCACCAAGTTCATCTCTTCTGTTGGGAGTTTGACTCCTTCGTTGGCTAGCCTACCTATTAGAGCCAGGTATGGGAACCTTAAAATGATCAGTTATTTAGCCTTCTGTAACATTTTATTTAGTAAAAGAACGATGTACGCTGGACTACTTGAAGTAAACATTAACTTTTACACATGCTAAATGTAAATACATTGTTGACGCATTTTCTTCTACCTGAGTAAAACAACGAGTAACGTTATTTGAAGAAACCCACGCCATCAGATTTGAGCTCACGGTCACGCGCGCACACAGTCACATCCGTTCACATGGAGTGCAGTCTGTGAAATGATACACTACATTAGGGCATGTAGCTGTTGTTGGTGCTTGTAACGTTACTATCAACTTAACGTCTTATTATTCTTCCAGTTAATAAATCAGACTGAATAAAATACTGCGTTTTTCCACCATTAGTTAATATTCAGCATCCCCCTGACCTTCATCTTCAAAACGCAACGAATTCATATATTCAAATAATAATATTCAAATAATTTGCAGTGATCGTATATAGATCGTATATAGAGTTGTTTGTAAATTTATGCTTGTCTTTGAAGAGTATTTGATTATTGGTAATATTTTCTGTTCAATCATGTTTGCAAAGCATGAATTATCCTTATTCCTATGAGCGCGTTAGCGTGCTTAACCCTTTTTGAACTCACTGACTCACCGTACATGCAGGTTTCGAGTGCGCTCATTGGGTAAAACAAGCAGGTTGTGCTTTCTGATTGGGCCCGTTGCTTCCGGGAATTTCCGCGAAGAAATCATGGCAGTGTGTGTCCTTTTGTACCGCGTTTGGAGGGCAAACCAGAGCTTATGATGAAAAGAAAATTAATATATTAGTTTTAGTTCACTTTTAAGTTTTTCTGGATGAGAAACGGCCACTTATGTCACACCACATGCCAAACGTCCACGTTCTAAGTTTTAAGGGGCTATAGAGGCACAAGGCCCTTCATTTACACTTTTAAATGGTGATTCAATTCCTGCTACTTACTCATATAAACTCAGCATTTGTACAGCTTGTTGCTTTTTCACGACATTTTAGGGTTTGTAATGTATGCAACTAACGAGCTTCTAAAATGTCATTTCTAAATAACAGCCATATAATAAACACACACACAAACTCACGACCTTTGCAGGAGGTTTTGCAACTTGACTCCAGGAATGACCTTTGACTCCACTGGACTGTTCTTGCTTTCAGATGAACACTTTACTGGCTGACACACAGCAGAACTAACACACTGATGGCACCACACAGGGCATTAGTGCTATTTGTTTCTTGGCACCAATGTAGTGATTGTGTTTTGTTTGTTTGTTTGTCTGGAGTATTAAAATCTGCTTTAATACTGTCGTTTATTTCAATTTCATTACTTTAGATTTCATAAAAAAGTAGACTTTTACAGGGAAACTTTACTGCTCAGCAAGGCTAAAGTGTCTTGAGCGGATGAAAATAATCTGTTTTTAGTGAGCATGTGGAGATGGGAAAGTTTTTTTTATTTTATTTAAATAAGCAATATAAGTGGATTTCTATGAAGTATGAACATTCATTTAAAAACAACAAATTCATTAGAAGTAATTGTATTTTTTACTCATTGACTATTAATTGTATGTCTGATATAGGCATGAGCCGGTTTAAGATTCTGATGGTATGAGAACCTTGGGTAAAATGATCACAGTTTTACAGTATTATGATTACTGCTGTAAACTATATTCTTTATAAATGTCTGGGTAAAAAACTAAACCTTTTTTCCCTTTTGAACACAATATATTTTATTTTTAAGAAACCTTTATAATATTTTGGAGCAGTAAACATGTCAGACTAAATAATTCAAATCAATAATTGAATAGTGTTGTCTTTATTAGTTTTTAAAGCACAGATTCTTGACAATTCAAAACGGCATCTTTAGATATGTTTTCTGCTGGATGTGCTGTTGTCTTAAAACATTTTAAAACATCTTACAAATACCTTAGGAACAGTATGGACTAAAATTTTGGCGGTTTTAATACCTTGATTTATAAACCGCGGTATACCTTGATAGCAGTTATCATCCCATACCTAGTCTAATGTGCTGAAAATGACCTTATGTTGTCGATATTATTTTGTAGAAATATAATATTTCTCACACCCTGTTGTGAGTTAAATTTGTTATTATATAATTATGGAAAATTAATTATGGATAATTTAAAAATAATCCACTCTTTCAATCAAAAATGTTGAAATTGTTTATCATAGACCAGAGGTGTCCAAACTTATTTTTAGCAGCATTATTTTTTGTTGAAAATAGAATTAATATCTGTCCTCTTATGCTGTACTATGTTTTTTCCCCTCTCTATTATATAAAGCTCATGGTGGACTGAGGTGCAGATGGGACCCCCTGATCCCATCCTGGGGGTGACTGAGGCCTTCAAACGGGACACAAACTCAAAGAAAATGAACCTTGGTGTGGGGGCATACAGGGATGACAATGGCAAGCCATACGTTCTCAACTGTGTCCGCAAGGTATGTGTCTTCTGTGCCACCACACAGCTGAGCATTTGAGAGGGCGTCCAAGTTTTAGCACAGTGTTATCTGCTTTTTACCCTGAAAAATATGTGAAAAAAAGATGGTTAATAAATAGGGATGTCCCGATCGGATATTGATATCGTAAATTCGTCCGATATCAGTCCAAAAAACTATATCGACTGCGTTAAAAACCTCCCATATAAGCAGTCTGATACTCTCTAAACTCCGTTACAGCTATTCCATCCAGCAGCGTCTAGAGCCAACGTGCAAAGCCCACGTGATCACAACACTGCTTGCTAGCAAAGTCTCTAAGATTTAACGTGCTCTTCACACTAAGTTATGTTGTATTACGATAGAAATCTATTGTGACGGTAGCACACGCTGACGCTGTCAACAACGGTACTTCTCTAACGTTACTGGTTTATTTACTTCACGTCAAGCGATCTTTACATTGTTTTGCATAAGGCTGCTAAGCAACATAAGGCACATAATGGCGACGTAGCCCACATCGTGCGAGCCTCAATTCGGTCATGGCATATCGTGGTTCATCCAGTGTGATACCTAATTCATCACCAGCGCTTCCCACACATAAGACTTTATCTCAGCGGCCCGGTTCTGTGTGCATGAGAAAAGTCTCTGCCACAGACTCGCGGGCTCTGCTGCTGCAGCAGACCCACAGAGACGCGCTGGACACCTGCTCCGACTTTAGCTTTGAGAACAGCGCGAGGACACGCGGAAAAAAAACCTACGATACATTATCTTTTTCCTGGACATGTCCTTTATTTGGGACTCAAATTGCATTCAGCCAAGATTTCTAAATCGCCGAACATGTCCCGGATTCTGCTTTCTTTAGCTGCATTTCTTCAATATTTTATACGCAAACTTTCAATCTCAATCTTTCAGCAGCACCAAGACTAGAGAGGGAGCAGATTTGACCTGTCAGT